TGTGCACAAGAAAACACCTCCGGTTATGTTTCTAAGTCCCTATTTCCCAGGAGGTGCCGTCTCTTCTCTAATTCTTTTCTCCAGGGATCCCTTTTCCCAAACGTTACCTTGATTCACATTTATGTTAATAAATCTCTCAGTTCCAGCTTCCTAGAGCTGATAATTGTGCCCCTCTCTTATTATAGGATTGAGGTTTGAGCACAGCATACATTGTGTCACATACCACCTGGCATTTAATAATAGTTATCATTGGCTTTATTTTTTATTTTATTCCCTTTCCTGAGCAGGTCCTTAATACCCTGAAGCGGTCTCTGCAGCCTGTGGTATAAGACTTCTCTCTGAGCTGGGATTTGCCTCCTGGTCTATCTGCCAAAATGCTTTCTCCAGAACAGACTGTCATCTTCAGGGGTCAGAGGTTAATCATCTACACCCAGTTGACTAGGGCAATGCCAGTGAGTTCTCATTTGTGTTGGTTCTTCTTGCCAGGGTTGTTCTGTCCCCGCTGACAACTTGGAGGACAACTTCATAATAGGAGACTCTGGATCCCAGCAGGATGTGCACCTGCTAATTGGAGCCAGACCATTCCCTTCCCCAGCCCCTTCCCCACCCTCTTCCCCACCCTCTCAGCTCTCTGGTTTCCTGAGCTGCCCATTCTTAGTCAGGAACTTCAATATGTAGGGTTGGGGAGTGACCCCAGTTCTGAGCCTTCTGCTCACAGTCTCTTCCTTCCATCAGTTTGATTATACTTTTCTCTTATTCACAGCCAGCAGAGGCAACAGGGAAAGTATGCCTCAAGTACAGTCTCCAGGACCAGAATTTGGAGGAAAAGGTGGCATTTTCCATACAACCCAAGCCTGATGCCAAGTGAGAGTTTACTTATGTCCTTCCCTCTTCCTTCCCCCCTCTCTGTTTGATATTCTCTATTTTTCTTCTTCTTTCTTCCTTTTTTTTTTTTTTTTGAGAGGTTTTAGGTATAGGACATGTGTGCTTGCCAGAAAGACAGAGAGCGACAGAGAGATAGAAAGTGAGAAATCACCCCCCCAAGGGGGATAGCCACGCCGCAATGCCTTCTCCTCCATTCTCCTCTTGGGATCTTGGGCACATGCACATGTGCCCGGCGTGAGTTTAAGCCACTGGTCCAAGACCTGAACCGTGGTCGACTACATGGGAGTCCAGTGACATAGTCATTATGCTAACTGCTGGTTCCTCTTTCTTTCTCCGTTTTCTTTTATTCTTTTTTGTTTTATCTCTGCCACCATTGGACAGTCAGATTCCTTTTCTTTTTTTTTCTTTTTTTTTAAATTAGTTTTATACACTAAATCACATTATTTATCTTACAAAGTGAACATTTCAATATGTGAACATTTCCCCCCAGTCCAGTTGATCAAAATATCTTCAACAGATAACACCACACCTC